TTTATGTGTTGAGAGCGTGGCCTGGTAAGGAACATATTCGGCTGAGCTCCACTTTTTGTACTTGGTAGAGGAAGACAATTCAGACAGACCCCGATACAAGACATTGAAGGAAGAAGAGAGTCTGAGGAGATAGGATATGAGAAAAACCACTGGCATGCAGGAGAGCATTCTGGTCGATACAGGATTCAGATTCTTTGTGCTGTTCTAGCTTGTGAAGCGTGTGCAGGCTGTGGGGAATAAAGGAGACTCGCTGGCTTGTTTGTCATCATTCAAACGGCTTGGGAGTTATACTTTGACGGACACCACTCTCGTGAGAATTTCCAACAAGGGCGATGGTGCAAGCCTGCACAGCTGGGATGGAGAAGACAGCCAAGGAGCCTGCCAGGCATTATGCAGAGAAAGCAGAGCCTCCTGGTCTTCCAGGGCATTCATTAGCAATGGAAATTACTTCCTTTCTCACTTCCCAGGATCAGAACACTCACTGGCCTCACTGCTGGGCCAGCTAGGCAAGAGAACCAAAGTACGCGATGTCCAAGCTGTCTACAGCTTTTCCTTCTTCCCTCTCCCCTCTTTCTTCTGTATGAATCCTCTTCTTGCAGAGGTGCAGCTGGTTCCCCTCTTTACAAGTAAATAGCGCGCAAATAATTAAGCCGATGTCTCTGAGTCATTCTTTGACTCTAGGCGCCATCACCTGCTAGCTGAGAAATGACCTTTGGCAAGCCAGGCAACCTTTTGGGCCTCCTTTTTCTCCTCTGTAATACAGGTAATCATAGTTCCACTTCTGGAATTTTGACAAGAATTAAATAAAATAATCCATGTAAAGAGTTATACACATCTGACATGTAGTAAATGATATTGCTACAATCATTATCATTTTCCTCTTGTTGCTGTAACAAATTATCACAAGTTTAGCTGCTTAATACAACAGATTTATTCTTGTATAGTTCTGGAAGTCATAAATCTGAGATGAGCATCACAAGGTTAAAATCACAGTGTCAGCTATGTTGCATCTTGTGTCTGGAGGCTCTAGAGGAGAACCTGTTTATTTTTTTCTAGAGGCTACCTGCATCCCTTGGCATGTGATCTCATCTTCCTTCTTCAAAGCATCTTCTGATCTTTCTTACTGTTAGGGCACACTCCCAGCGGGGTCTCCAGAATGTTAGGTCAGGCCCACTGGGGGTTTGGGTGTCTGGTATGCAATCTGATGCCATGTGAAAGATGCAAAGAATTGCACAGAAGTTAGATTAGAAAATATAGTTTATTTTAAAAGTAAATTAGAGAGAGAGAGAGAAAGAGGAGATTCGCCTCCCCAAGGTAGGGGAGGGGGCCAAAGCCAGGAAACATGACCTGGCCATAGCTGAAAGAGCACGCAGGTGGCCACACCAGAGTCCAGCAAGACGATGGCTGCTGGTTGCTTGTGGTTGAGTTCTTTTAACCCTTCCCTTTGATGGGGGAAGGTCATTAAGGTGATTGGATGGTGTCTGCTCCATGTCATTCCGAAGGGCAGGTAAGCACAGGTACTGACATTAGGTGATGAACAGCAGGCATATGGGTGGGTTAGTCACATGATTGCTGCCATAGTAGTGGGCTAGATGGAAGGACACAAGGGGAGGCATTTTTCCTGCAAGAGACCTGCCAGAAGTTTCCAATCCACAAGCTCCTTAGCAAAAAGGGGGTCTGGTCCTATTATCATTTCTATGGCTTCACTCAGCTAAGGGGTGATCCTTGACCTTCTGCCTTTGACAAGGAACCTGAATCTTAGAGATTATTTTGCTAAACCATGAATTGAAAGGTTGGGCTGTTGGGTTTTCCTTGTCTTGCATCTGATGGAGATTTGCAGAGGGGGTGGGAGACACTGCCAGCTTAGCCTGCAGTAAAATGTCTGAATGCTTCCTAAAACCTGCCTATTGGAAATTTATTTATGTCTAACCTGTGCTAGATTCAAAGCATGTTGGGGTCAAGTCTAAGCAAAAATGGTTATGCTGAGGCAAAATGTGAACTAAGTTTATTCTAAGTTTCTCGGGGTCCCTCCTTTCACTTACTAACTCTCACCCACCTTGCCTGCTTCTTATAAGGATGGTGTTAAACCCAAGATTTTAAATCCGAGAGACCACAAACAGCCAGCTCTGATGCAAACACACGAGGGTCTTTATTCAGGCGCGAGTCTGGGCTCACGTTTGAAGCCGATGCAGCAGCTTCAGGGACTAGAGAGCCCCGACCCAGGCTAACATGCACCTTTTATACATAATTCTGAAGGGGTGGGGTGGCTTTACAAACTTGTGCACACAGGATTGGATAAAAACTATATGACACAGTTACAAAGACTCGTTGGTTGATTTAAGTTCGATTTGCGCGGGCTCAGGCTTAGTTACTTGTGATGGACAAGTAACTGCCAAACGGGCGGACTGGAATGCCAGATAAGCTAGGTTTAGCAAGCAGGCAGGAGGTTGGAAACAACACTGAGCTTACCAGGAGAGAAACGCCACAGAGGCTACCACAATTTAAGCAAAGGAATGTCCGAAAGGGGCTTATTGTTTAACATTCACACACTGCTAGCAGCAGCTGCAGAATTCATATAGTAATAGTTCTTTTTTGAGTTTTTTTGAATCTGTTGGGTCTCTCAATGGTTGTGGTGACATTGGACCTACTGGTATAATTGAGATTAATCTCATCATTTTTGAAAGGTACCTATTGAAACCTAGAAGAAACCTAACTTATTCTTTAGTCTTTTTGCCTCAGCATAACCATTAGAAAGCATTCAGACATTCTACTACAGGACAAACAGCAGCCTATCCCATTCCCCCTTAGGCAAATCTCCTTCAGATGCAAGACCAGGACAGCCCAACCATTCATACTTTAGCATAATAATCTCTAGTAAACCTTTGATTCCTTGTCAAGGCCAAAGTCATAAAAGTAATAATACAACCACCCCAACTTTGGTCAAGGAATTTGTGAGTTGCAAATGTCTGAGTTTGTGAATTGCAAATGTTTATCAGGTCTCTTGCAGGAACCTGCCCCCCCCCCCCCAGGGTTAACCTAATCAGCCTTTTGTGACCCACCTTGGCAGTAATCATGTGACTAACCCACCCATCTGCCTGCTGTCCATCACTTGACATCAGTACCTGCGCTTGTCTGCCCCTTTGTGATGATGTGGAAGCAGACCACCACCCAATCACCTAATGATCTTCCCCCATCAAGGGGAATGGCTAAAAGGACTCAACCACAAGCAACCAGTGGCCATTGCCTTGCTAGACTTTGGTGTGGCCACGTGCTCTTTGAGCCATGGCTGTCGCCATGCTTCCTGGCTTTGGCCCCCTCCCCCACCTTGGGGAGGTGAATCTTCTCTCTTCCTTCTCTTTCTCTAATTTACTTTAAAATAAACGTTTCTTTCTTCACCTTTTTGTGTGTCACAACTCTTTGCATCTACTTGGATCTCTGGGTTGCCAGCGTGGCACCTCCTGCTTGCCAGTTCCTGCAGTGCTGCACCCCTCCTCTCCATCCATTTTCCCTCCCCCTATCCGACCCCTAACAATTTTAATATGTTTAACTTAATCACATCTGCAACTTCCTTTTGTCATATAAGGTAACAAGGTTGCTATATATTCAGATTTTGGGGATTAGAAGGCAGACATCTGGGGGTGGGGGTGAGGGCCATTAGTCTGTCTACCACAATCACTATATATATATATTTTTAAAATTCAGAGTCTCATTTTGTTGCCTAGGCTGCAGTGCAGTGGAATGATTACAGCTCTCTGCAGCCATGACCTGCTGGGCTCAGGCATTCCTTCCATCTCAGCCTTCCAAGTAACTGCACACCTGGCTATTTTTTTTTTTAAATATAGATGAGGTCTCACTGAAGGGCCACCGCCAAGCCACAAGTAAAGCCACATCCCCTCCCTTTCCTGGAAACGGCGACACAGCACCCTAAAATGGCAATTGAAACGGTGCCTTCCTTTGTTCTCCCTCCGCACCCTTTCCCGCACCCGCGAAAAATCCACCAGCCTAAATGAAGCTCTGCCAACCGGCCTATAGATGACAGACAGGTCACCCTAAGCCTCTACAAAGGCCGTCGCGCCCTTGCCTCGGGGCTACAGCCTGACCCTCAGGTCCTGTAGCCACCGCTTTCGACCCATTAAATCTCTTGGCCTTAACGGGTGTTGAGTCTCACTGTGTGCCACCGTCTTTCACTCACCACGTTGTCCCGGCTGGTCTCAAACCCCTGGGCTCAGGCAGTCCTCTCACCTCAGCCTCCCAAAGTGCTGGGATTACAGGTGTGAGCCATCATGCCCACCAATCACTGTTTCTTAAAATCAAGACTAGCTCATATAATTCATTCAATCCTCACTAAAGCCATTGAGGTAGATACAGTTATATTCCTATTTGCAAACTGAGGCACCGAGAAGTTAAGTAACTTGCCCAAGGTCACACAGCCAGTAAGTAAGCGGTGAAGCTGTGATTCCAACCCAGAAAGACGGCTGTGGAGTTCATGTTAAGAGCTGAAATGTGTAGAGTGGCCAATAATAAGCCCTATAAGAACGTTAACTATTATTTTTGTTATTTCTAGTAAGATTAATATAATAATCGTTCCCTCATACGCTTTTGTGAGAGTTAACTATTTGATGTGTAAAAAGTGCCACACAGTAGGTCTTTGAATTGTATTCAGATTTTTCCAGTCCATGTAACACCTTTTTGGATACGATAGAGCAAACTCAGCCCTCCTCAAGATGGCTCCATCCTTAGCCCCAACTCCCCCATCCGCCCCACTCCAAATGGCGTTTATTACCATTAAAAGCGGCATTCCGCCCTTCTCAAGATGGCGTCGACACCAGGCCTTCTTTACCTTCCACCCTCTTCCAGACCCCCGCAGCCACTAGCGTCGACCTTGGCCCCTCCGACCTTCTCAAAATGGCGGCAACTACGGTCTGCAGCCCTTAGACCTTCTCAAGCTGGCGCCGAGCCGCAAACTCGCGTCGCAAAACTCACTGTCGTTATCCAAGTCACTTCCGGTTGCGCCGGAGCTGGGCAGGCTCGTGAGGCCTGCCGAGGGGCGAAGGCGGCTTCTGGGGCCGGGGCCCTGGGGCGCGACCATGGACCGGAGGAAGAAGCCTTTGGATGTCACGGCCTCCTCGGTGAGTGGGGTTGTTCGATGATGGCAGGGGCTCCGGGTCCTCCCCGCCTCCATCAGACAAGAATCTCGATGTGGCCTGTTCTCTCCGGGACCCAGACCTGGCCTCTCCCCTCAAGCAGGAACCCGGTTCTGGGTGTTCTTCTCTGGCCGGGGACCCGGAGCGTTCTTACCTGCGGGATTGCGAACTGGGCCGCTCCCCGGCGTCAAGCACGCGGACCAGGCTTCCCCCCTGCGGCGCAGCCCGAGCCTGGCGTCCTCTCGGTCGGGAGTCTCCCTGTCCACCCGGCCTTGCCGGCAAGGACTTGGAGTCTGCCAGCCTGTCGCCCTTGCCGTCGGGAGGAGGCACGGCCTGTCCTTGCTGTGCAGACACGTCCCTTTCTTTTTTCACCCAGCCGGGGATCAGCAGAGTTCCCCGTGGACTTTGAAGGGGGATTTATTCCCCGGGATCCGAGGGTGCCCGGAGTACCCCCATCAGGCACGAAACGGTTGTCAGTGCACGCACAGCATGTGCCGCCTGGGGATGGAAGCGGGAGGTTCGACGGGACGGAAGCAGTTGTGTTAGATTAGCTGCTCTAGGCGGAAACCTTGTTCGGACACTTGAAACACACCGTCTCGTTGAATCCTCGCAGCTGCTTTAGCAGGGGGGAGGTGCTAATATCCCCGTTTTATGGATGATGAAAGGTGAAGAAGCTTTCCCCAGCTTGCCTACGGAATTCCTAGCGATAGAACCTGGCTCTCGATCTGGTTGAATCCAAAGCTGTTGTCTTTTCCATGGCGTCAGGTCACATGGCCTAACCTTTGATTTAATCTCGAATTGACTAACAGAGTATTTGGGGACAAAAGGATTACATAGGAAAACATATGTGTCCAAATATTTGAGTTCCTTTTTCTCGTTCCCTACTGAAAGTTGATTACTTATGTTTGAGGATTGGGAACCAAAAATTATAAATATTAAAGTCAACCTACCCTGACAGGTTAAAATTAGCAGTGGGAATACTATTTAAGACTTGATCGTTTATTTGAGTATCTTTTAAAATTCAAAAGTAAGCCGGGCTCGGTGGCTCAGCCTGTAATCCCGCGCTTTGGGAGGCTGAGGTGAGTGGATTGCCTGAGCCTGCAGGTTCGAGACCTGCCTGGCCAACTTGGCAAGACCTCATCTCTACAATAAATTTTTTAAAAAATCAGCCAGGCGTGGTAGCACATGCCTGGAATTCCAGCTACTTGGAAGGCTGAGGTGGAAGGATCACCGGAGCCCAGCAGGTCGAGGCTGCGTGGCCGGAAGTGGCCACTGCACTCCAGTCTGGGTGACGGAGTGAGACTCCAACTCAAAAAATAAAATAAAATAAAATAAAATTCAAAAATAGTTGTGGAATAGGAACACGTGTGACTGGGAAATGGGTGTAGTTAAGAAGGCTTAGAAGAAAAGTTGAAAGTTTTTCAGAATTTAAAATAGGTTCTGGAATTAAACTGCCTTTTGCATTATTAAAATTCTCAACTTTGGTACCGAATTCTACATTTATACATTTAATTTTGTACCCATTTTTGTTCATTTAGAGGAACTTGAAATTTTGTCTGAGAATTGCAATAATTTAGCAATCTAATCACCTGCGAGAATTGATTAAAATATTTTTGTTTACTTACTGCTTTTATTCTAGTTGGTAGATCTTAAGGCTGAACTCTTCCGGAAACAAGAAGAATTCAAACAAGAAAAACTTCTAAAAGATTCTGGAGTTTTTGGAAAACCAAAAACAACTAATAAGGTAAAAATAAGATCTAATTATCTCCATTGGTTCCAAGTATGGGAGAGTTACACCCTACTTGAGTGTTTTGATGTTGTCAGTGTGTCTGTACATATAAATGTTAAGAAAAAATCCCTGCCTTGTATTTGGACATGTTTAAATTTTTGAGTCGGGTTCATTCTGTTGCCCAGACTGGAGTACCATGGTACAATCATGGCTCACTGCAGCCTTGGCCACCTAGGCTCAGGTGATCCTCCTGCTTCAGCTTCCCAAGAAGCTGGACAACAGGTATGTGCCACCATGCCTTACTATTTTTTTTTTTTTTTTTTTTGTAGAGACAAGTTCTCTGCTATGTTGCCTAGGCTGGTCTTTAACTCTTGGGCTCAAACAGTTCTCTCATCTCGGTCTCCCAGAGTGCTAGGATCACAGGCGTGAGCCACTGCACCTGGCCTATATGTTTTAAATATTAAGATTATTTAAAAGGACATTATAATGCTCTAATTCTTTAGCACTTCTTTTGGAAAAAGTATATGCTATTAGTAAATGCATTTTTACATTCTTGTGGAAGTTTATCTGGTTATATAAGTGTTATGTATCCAAACAGAGATAAACAATTAGATAATATGGAGATATAGCAGGAAATATTGGGGTCTCAAGAGTTAAAAATGGTTTTCCAGTTTTATAGGTAATGATATCTACTGTCTGTATTAATAATTCTCTGTAACGTCTTGACTTAGCTTGTAATAATTCAGGAGGCAAAGGTAGTGGAGAAGTAACTCTAAGCAGCCGTATAAAGAAATTCTTGGTACAATTTAGAGCTTTTTTCCAGCTCCAGCTTTGCCATGTACAGTCAGCCTGTTATCTCCATTGATTCTCAAGATCTCATGCTCTCCTTTTTTTTTTCCTGATACATAAGTAGAGTTTGGTTGGTTTTTTTTTTTTTTTGCAGTCATGTGATGGTTCTGTTTTGTCTTTTTAAATTATTCTCCAGAAGCCAAGTATATGGAGCAAACAGAATGCAGGAGTTTCAAATCGAGCTGAGAAAGATGCTGAACAGAAGATTGAAGAACAGAAGACTTTAGACAAAGCAAGGTAAAGTTAAGCATTGATAGAAGTTGTTCCTAGCTGGGCTCGGTGACTCAGCCTGTAATCCTGCGCTTTGGGAGGCTGAGGTGAGTGGATTGCCTGAGCTCGCGGGTTCAAGACCCGCCTGGGCAACTTGGCGAGACCTCATCTTTACAATAAATCAAAAAATCAACCGGGCATGGTAGCACGTGCCTGTAATTCTGGCTACTCGGAAGGCTGAGGTGGAAGGATTGCCGGAGCCCAGCAGGTCAAGGCTGCAGTGGCCAGGAGTGGCCACTGCACTGCAGTCTCGGCGATAGAGTGAGACTCCAACTCAAAAAAAAAAAGTTGTTCCTTTGAGGGTACTCAAGCAAAGAAAATTTTCAAAAAGTTCAAATTTTGTTCTTTTTGATTACAAATTTGATTTTTAACATCCTTCTGACCAAATACTCTATAAATAATCTAAAAGTAATATATAGTTTACAGATGTATATGTAGTCTTATAGAAAGATAAGACATAGTCTCAGTTTAAAAGAAGAAACAGGGGCTGGTCTTGGTGGCTCAGTCTATAATCCCTGCACTTTGGGAGGCTGAGGCAAATGGATTGTCTGAGCCTGCGGGTTCGAGACCAGCCTGGGCAACTGGGCGAGACCTCATCTCTACAATAAATAAAAATTAGCCAGGCCCAGCAAGTCAATGCTGGATGGCCGTGAGCATGCCATTGTACTTCAGCCTGGGCATCAGAGTGAAACTCCAACTCAAAAAAAATATGTTGATCATCTTGGTGTCTAATAAAGTGAGACTCTGTTTCTTCTTTTTTTTTTTTTTGAGTTGGAGTCTCACTCCATTGCCCAGGCCGGAGTGCAGTGGCATGCTCACGGCCACCCCAGTGTCGACCTACTGGGCTCCAGTGATCCTTCCACCTCAGCCTTTCAAGTAACCAGAACTGCAGGCATGTGCTGCCGCACCAGGATAATTTTTGATTTATTGTAGAGACGAGGTCTCGCCCAGTTGCCCAGACTAGTCTCAAACCCGTGGGCTCAGGCAATCCACTCGCCTCGGCCTCCCAAAGTGCTGGGATTACAGGCTGAGCCACCGAGCCCGGCCAGTCAACATTTTTAAGAAGTGTTCCATGGTGTTTTTCTGAGCAAGGTGGTGTGACTTTAGCACTTACAGACTCTAAATGTTGTCCCTAGCTTTTTTATTTTGAAGCACTTCAAGCGCACAGTGAGCATTCTAATACCCTCCACCTGAATGTGCCAGTTAACATATTGCCTGTGTGCTTTCCCTCCCTCCCTCTCTCACAACACGTGTGTAGAGAGAGTGTTGTGACATGACCTTGAAGTGTTTCAGCATATATCTTCTAAGAACAAGAACATTTTCCTACACAGCCACAGTACTGCTGTCCTACTCAATTAATTTATCACTGATAAAATGTGGTCCAAATTCAGATTTCACCAATTGTCCTAGTACAATTAATAGTTTTTTCTAAAAAATCCAGTATTCAAGAATTACACATTGTAAATAGTTGTCAGGTCTCTTTAGTCTCCTTTAATCTGGAACAATTCCCTTGCTTTTTTGTTGTCTGTTATCCCACTAACATTTTTGAAGAGTCTGGCCAGTTTCTGCAGTGTCCCACAAGTGATTGGCATAAGACTGTGTCAGTAGTGGTGTATCCTTCCCACTGAATTGCCTCCAGAGGCTTGTAATGTCCATTTGAGTCATTATTGGTGGTGATAAGTTTGATTACTTGGTTTAGGTAGGTCTGTTAGATTTCTCCACTTACAGGTGTCTTCCCCATTGGTAGTTAATAGTAATCTGAATATCTATCCTGTTTACCAACGTGTTCCCATGAAATGGTGTGTCATTGTTGATGAGCCTTGCCAGTTATCAATTATTATCTTGATGGTTTCAGAATGATGATTTTTCTAATTCTGTTATTCTGTCTTTATTACTTTTATTATTATTTTATAATTTTTTCATTCTGTTTATTAGTTGGCATTCTTGTGCAAAGAAGTGGCAGTATCAGCCTCAACTCAGAGAATCCCAAGTTTTAATGTCTGTCATGACTGCTGCATGTGCTTTTGAATACATTGCATAATAAAAACTCTGCTGTTGCAAACAGTCATTGCTGAAGTTGCTCAGCTCTTGTGGGTCTGAAAATAAAAGACAGAATAGTAGTTCATTTGGGGGGCTTGTTTATCTTAATGTTTGACCTGTCTCCGACAGACCTTAGACTTTTTAAGAGATGATAGCTTTTGAGACATCTTCCCCACTACTGGACATATTCTCAGAATTTTAACGCTTCGCACTTGGAGACATCTCACAGACCACTTACCAGCAACTTGACTGCACTTTTTAATGAAATAGTGAAAAACGAACCACTTCATATTAAATAGTATGTTTGAACCGATGATTTTATTGTAATGATATTGGCTTATAATGGGATTTTGGGCTTTGAGGAACTTATTTATGACAAGAAAATCAAAATTTTACATCTTATATTTTTCTAATGTGTTGTAATGTGTCTAACAGTTACCGACATGCATTGCAGATTCATGATACCTGTTATGTAGTAGTAATTTGTTTGACATCTTCCTCCTGGTGTTTTTCTATTTAATCAGACAATGCAGTCTTGTTTTCTTCTTCCCACATTAGTGATATGTAATGTATTGTGCAGTCTGTTGTTCGAATGTGGAAGGATGCATTTGTGATTCCTGAAAAGCACTTCTCAACTGATGGATTAGAAACTTGACAAATTTCAAATGGGACTTAGGTTTTTCATTGTTTTTGAATTGGAAAACTTCATGGAAGCATGCATTTTTGAAAAATATACACAGGAATAAGTTTGTCCTGTATAATCACTAGTAACCTCTTTATGTCTCCCAAGAGAAGACATCCCAGTGGTTTGCTAGATTTACAGTGTCCCTCAGAGGGGACATCTGCGTGCAAAGGGTTAATTTTGTCAAAAAGCACCAAGATCTTTTATTACTTTGCTCTGTATATCAGAGTTTTCTTGGCACTCTGCTGTGCTTTTTCTATGCAGTAAGTTTATGTAGCACTTTGGTTTCACTGTGCTTGGGAGGAGCCAAGTCTGCCTCCAGTCTGTAGGATGTCTGCTTCTCTCCAGAGGTCCGAGCAAGCAGGCACAGTCTCAGCCTTCTCCCTTGAGGTGGAAGGCCATGGACACGTTATATATCCATTAAGATTTTTTTTTTTTGAGTTGGAGTCTCACTCCCTCACCCAGGCTGGAGTGTAGTGGCATGCTCACCGGTCACCCCAGCATTGACCTGCTGGGCTCCAGCAATCTTTCCGCCTCAGCCTTCCAAGTAGCTGGAACTACAGGTGCGCGCTACCGCGCCTGGCTAATTTTTGATGTATTGTGGAGACGCGGTCTCACCCAGTTGCCTGGGCTGGTCTTGAACCCACAGTCTCAGGCAATCCACTTGCCTCGGCCTTCCAAAGCGCTGGGATTGCAGGCTGAGCTATCAAGCCTGACCTCCATTAAGACTCTTATCTGTGAAGTGAAGTGGGTAATACTTGGCTCATGAAGTCTTTCAGGGGATTCAAGGAGTTAGAGTGTCTGGCACGAAGCAGGTTGCAGGTAAGTGTTCTCGCCTCTTGAACTCTGAATACTGTCTTCCTTGACTGATGAAATTGTTTTTAAAGTCACTGGTGACATCTTCATCTGCTACGTTCAGTGGCCATTTCTCTGACAGCTTACTTGATCTTGATTATTCATTTGTAGACTATTCCTGCCACCTGAAAAATGTTATACTGTATTCAACTTCTTGTCCTTCCTTGTATGCTCTTGTCCTTGTATCTCACTCTGCTTTAGTCAGTAGCCTCTGCCTCACTGGTCTCTCCTTGAAATGTCAAGCTTATCCCCGCTTACTCTTTCCTCTACCTGACTTGCTCCAAATCCTCCAATGCTTGACTTCTCGTTATGCAAGCCTTAGCTCAATTGTTGCCTTCAGAGAGGTTCCCCTGACTACCCTGTCTAAATTAGCATCCCTTCCCCTCACCCTAACTTGTTGGCACTTGTTGTTTAATGTGTGCATGGTTTTTTTTTTTTTTGCTTTTTAATTTTTTAAAAAGTTTTATTTGCATAAAGACATAAGATTCTATCATGACTCAACTAGCTACACGAAGACCCCTTTAAAATAGAGCAACTTAACCTATTAGAAGCCCGATATGGCCCAAGCCGGTCCCCTGAGCACTCCATTAACGCAGAGCACTTTAAGTTGCTTCCATTGGTGGCACCTCCTTTATTTCTTTGACAGCTCCTCTCACTGTCTGAAATATTTCTCACTGATTTATTTGTTGTCTTTCTCCCTCTCTAGAATGGAAACCCCATGATAGCTGGGACTTTGTCCTGTTCCCGTGAGTCTTCACCACCTAAAACAGTGCTTAGCATGTAGGAGGCGTGCAATAAGGACTTTCTGAATGGATGTGCAAAATGAAAGTGAAATCTTCCTAATATTGATAATTATGACAGTGAGGATGACTAATGATGTACTTTATTAATTGAATTAATCTTCATGGCAACCCTAAGAGGGAATACTGGCTTGGCTTCTTTTTTTCCTTTTTATTAATCTATCTTTGTGGGAATTGAGGCACAGAAGCATTGGCTAACTTATTCCAGAGCCCACGGCCATGTGACCCAGGTACATCATGGCCTTTGTAGGCCATTAGAAATGAAATTGTCCATTATGGTTAAGTGTGCTCATTAACAAGAGAAAGATGAGATGACCTTGTTAGGGCTTCCGTTTGTTAAGTATTTCTAGAATAAAGAATTGCTAGCCTTCTTACCTGGTCTGTGCCAACTACAAAATAAATACTACCAGCTTTACTGTGAACAGAGAGGCTTTTTTGTTGGAATACTGGGGTTGGTGTTTGTTTTTTATTAATTAGCTATGAGTCGTGAATACATTTTTCATGCTCTATAAAACAGACAGTATCACAGTTTTAACAGACCTATAAGAAGTTGGTCTCTGGTTCCCCTAGGGAAGCCTCATAAGTCATGGATGACCAGAGACCCTTGTCTAAAAACAGTAATGCAAAGAGTTTTACAAGGAAATGGTTTTGTTTAGATTCAAAATAAAGCATCTTTCTTTTTTGGCATGTAAACTTGGTTGCATCTGGCAGTTAAATTAAGTTGTTGGAATCTTAACTCAGTTTATTCATGTATTCATTTATCAAATATTATTGGAGAACTTACTATGTGCCAGGTATTGTTTTAGGCACTGAAGCCCGGTGATGAATAAGAGAACATAAGCCATGCTCTCAAGAGCAGATGTGGTGGGCCTGAGTCTCCTCACTAGCACTATTTGGGGCTACCTTGTCAAGCTGGACCTGTGGCCAGATGGCACTTGCCAGACCTGGCACGTGGGCACCCTCACCAGGAAGGACAATTGTAGGACTGTTTCTAATATTTATATTTTTTTCTTCTAGGGAAAAATTGGAAGAAAAAGCCAAATTATATGAAAAAATGACTAAAGGAGACTTCATAGGTAAGTACAATGATTTCTTTATACTTCGTTTTCTATGAATCGTACAGCTCTTTGGTATTTATGTTACTTGTTAAAATAAGAGTAGAGATAAATATTTTGAGAATCAAAATTTTACTTTCTGTGGATGCACAGAGACAAGAAGATCAGCAATAATTTACCAATTGTCTGGTGGGTGCCAGGGAGTGTGTTAGGTATTGGGAGAGGACACACAAGTAGTGGAAGCTGAATTCTCTGCCTCTTCCCTCAAGGTGGGTGTCAGCAGATGGAGGAAAGTGGCATGGAACAAGGCAAAGTCATGAAGCAAGGTCTAAGTAGGCTGCACTTACATACGGTTACAGCTGTGATTTAAAAAAAAAAGGCTAGGTGGAATTATGGTTACACCAGGGTGCTAGACTTATGTTTCCTTTCTCTTTCTTTTTCCTCTATTTTCTATTTTTTTCTGTGATGTGTTTATAATTGTTTTAAAAAATTGATAAATCTCTCTTTTCCCCCAGAAAAGACCCAGTCCACAATTAGACAACATTAGAGGGGATCTTATAAGACTGTACACTTCACTGCCAAAAAGCAGGAAAAGTTCATATGTGGTCAGGGAAGTCTTGGAGAAGGCAGGCTTAGCTTTGGAGAGCTGGAGAGAGGGATCCCACAGGGGGCTAGTGGTGAGTGCAGACTAGCTGAGAGAAGACAGACCAGAGCTCAGTAGGGCTGCTTAGCCTGGTGTGGCTGGGGCCTGAGGCAGAAGGAAAGGGGCAGAGCTGGTCCTAGGTCATTGACTTCCTTTTCCCAGACGGCAGGGGCACTTTCCCTGCCTGTTCAGGAGCCCAGCATAGGAAGGTCAGAGGCTCGACAGAGCTCAGAGCTGTGGGAGAGAAGCAGCAGGGTGCCCGTCTACCAGAAGGCCTCGCTGGCCTGTTGTGACCTTGTAATTCAATTCTAGGGAGTTCACCTCTTCCCCCATTTCAGGAAAAGAAATCAACTCCAAAGGAGTGTGGATGTGGAGATCTGGTTTTGTCGAAGTCACAGGCCCACCTCCCGATAGGCATATTGGACCTGTTTGGGCAAGTTAAGTTTTGGAGCCTCCATTTTTCTCTACTATTAAGTGGAGATAACACCACCACCCAGTAATGGCGTACCTAATGTCTTCTCAATGTAACTTAATCTCTTTCCTCAGAGAAAGACTACAGTGGCTAGATCTTAAATCCAGAGTAGTGACGCTCGATATAAACCTTGTAACTGCATGAGCTCTCCTCAGTTAAATCAACTTAAAACCAGAGATGGCTGTTGAACCTCAGTGTGTTGTAGCTCCTGAGTAGGTTATAAGCCCTGAGGGCAGGTATCTTAGACATCTCCTCACGCCTTGCAGAGCCTGGACAGTGCCTTGCCTGGAATTGATGTTCATTGCCTTGAAAAGAACTTGGATAACTTCATTTATCTGTGTTATGACCTTTAAGATACTTACCATATCACAACAGTGTAAGCAGGGCACAGTGATCTAGCCGGTGTGATTAGAGAGAGATGTTACACCTATAGCAAAAAACTTGCTGTCCTGATCTGTGACATGAGAAATGCAGCTGTGTTTCTGTATGATATGATTGGCTGGACGAGTCACTTGAAATCAAATATTGTGTTATCTTGAAATGACATTCTGAGATAGTGTTGCTTGCTCACATGGTGTATTGATGAGGCAGCAGAAAACTGAGTTTTTTCAGGATTTTTGTGGGTGGCATATGTCAGTTCCTGGGGTAGCTCTGTGTCTTTGTGAGCTTTCAGGGGGTAGAGGCACTGACTGGTGAACTGTCTGGAGTGGTTAGAGCCTCCACGCAATGAGTGTGACTCTTTCTTGTCAATTCCATGCATGGTTTTCTTCTTTGCTGTACGAAAATTGATTTTTGTTCATAGATGAAGAGGTTGAGGATATGTACCTCGTGGATTTCACACAGAAGATCATAGACAAGCGCAAAGAAATGGAGGCGTTTGGTGCCAACAGAGATTCTCGAAAGGCAGGAGAAAGGGACGACGATGAAGAAAATCTTCCTGAAAAAGACATCCCTCCTCCCCAAGATCCCAGTGAGGAATGGTTGGTAATATTATTGGTTGATCAGCATAACATCCTCAGGCTTGCGTAGAATTTCTGAGAGGGATTTTGTTTGATAGTTTTCAAACCATTTCTCTTTGTTCTTCCTGGGTTTTCTTTCTTTAAGTTAGATTGGATCAAGATATTACAGATATTAACAGTAGCTCCAATGAAGAAATAATTACAAATAATGATCGGACTCCTGCTGTGTGCCCTGCACTGTGCCAGACCCAGGGAGGCTCACGAGCATGAAATAGTCGTTTGGGCAGAGTGTCTTCCTTTGTTACTTGAGCTGCTGCCTTACCCACATCCTTGTTTCGACATCATGGAAAGTCATCGTTTGGGAAGATCTCTTTTTCCAGCAAAAAGAAGCTGGCGTAGTCACCATGGTTCACCTTATGCTCTGACCTTGATGTCTCCTGTCAGTGTGGTGTAGACTTAGGGGCCTTGAGCGGCTCCATCCTTTATTGGCTGTGTGACCTTGGCCAAGTTCCTAATTCTGAGGCTCAATTTCTTCCCCTGTAAAATAGAGATTCCAGTGCTTTGTTCCCTTGACTGTTTGCTTTAAACTGCCTTTAGGAAGTAAGAGTGTTCTGGGCTACACAAGAAGCTGCTATCTGTGGAACACAAGCGGGCATTTTATTATTGAATTTTACCTATATATAGGTGAATGATGGAGGAACCAATCTGATTTTTTTCTTAAAGAGACTAATGTGTCAATAAATAGACTAGAATGGAAATTCCATTATAATGATTTTCTCTACCTAAGACATTATTGTTTAGAAACTTGTTCAGCAGTACTTGAAATTGCCAAGAGATGCACTGATGATCCCACAATTTCCTGAGAATGTCCCTGCTTACCTGCCCTCTTGCTTATGGGACTGTACTCATTTTCTCATAAAGGCTCAAATAGCCTTTTCACAGGAGGTATTTGTTAGGAACAGCTCAGGACTGTTGTAGCATTTGCTGACCTCTTGTCAGCCTTTGGCCCTGTGGGCAGTCATTGATGAGCTGAAGAGAGCAATTCCAGCTACTGTGAATGGCTTCAGACCACTGCCACATTGGTCCAAAAATAACATTCTCATCAGGAGAAAACAGATGTCTTTTTGCCTACCTTCTAAAAAACTTAAATCTTAGTAGTATGATACATTTTTGGGAGGTATCTGGCTACATGCTGTAAGAAACCAAAAGAGAAAACATACAGTCTTCTGTCTGTGCCTTTCTTCATCATTTCTAATCTAAGTGAGTACTCCCTCATCTGAAGTCAGGAAGCACTCAGTATACTACCTGCTCTTAGGGTCTTGCCTTTTATTTGTTATTAATACATACCAGACCTTATTACGAGAAACAGATTTGAGGCAAAACTTTTGGTAGTTTTTGTATCCTCCTAATGTAAGTAAGCACTTCGTGAGCGTGTGCCTTCACTTCCTCCAGGGTCCCTGGAAGACAGCATGACTCTTAACCCTCCTTGTGTTACCCTCAGTAAAACTTTGGAGGGGTTGCTCAGTAAGTGATTGCTGATTAGATAGAGCAGTTGCTGACTACTGTCTTGCCACTTCTATTTTAATGGGCTCTGTATGTTTGGGAGGCCTTCTCCAGAAACAGAATAGTCTATGATTGCTTTTCATAGCAGAAATCTCATCTCCTTTGAAAGGTCCAATGTCTTTTTAAAAATTTTTGCTTATTAATGCCTGTATGATTACAAGCAATTTGCCAGTGATTTGAAGAGTTTGGAGGGCAATTGAAGGTGTCACATGCCACCATATGGAGAAGGAAGACGCACTGCAAGCAGTTCTGACATTTTTTTGTTTTTAAATTAAGCTCTAGAATTGTAACTGCTTGTAAAATCCTTTTGGTAGTTGAATTCCAGGTGGTTGGAAGTCTTTCTGCAAAATACTGTAAATAATTACACAGACCATCTGGCTAGATGATTTTCTTCCCCCATTCATTTAGGGAAAAAATGAAGAAAGAAACTGCTTTCTGCAGTTGGAGATTTTATTTCTTGTGATAACCATCTTCAGGACTGTAGTAATGGATTCCCAAACACTCTGTTTTAAAATCACAACTAGCAATTGAAATTGGCATTGCGCCGGGCTCGGTGGCTCAGCCTGTAATCCCACACCTTTGGGAGGTGGAGATGAGTGGATCGCCTGAGCCCGCGGGTTCGAGACCCTCCTGGGCAATGAGACCTCATCTCTACGATAAATCAAAAAATCAGCCGGGCATGGTAGTGCATGCCTGTAATTCCGGCTGCTTAGAAGGCTGAGGCGGACGGATCACCGGAGCCCAGCAGGTCGAGGCTGCGGTGGCCGGGAGCGGCCACTGCACTCCAGTCTGGGCAACAGAGTGAGACTCCAACTCAAAAAAAAAAAAAAAAAAAAAGAAATTGGCATTGTTTGAGAAGAAAAAAGTCGCTGACAAAAGCAAAACCACTTACGTGCTGAGCCTGACCTTGAATTGGTCTTCTAGCTAATATTTATTAGCCCCCTACTCTGTGTTCAACATCCTGCTTAAGACTGTGGGAGATTTCCTGCCCATAATTTAAAAAGTAAAAAATCTGGTTGGGCACGGTGGCTGACACCTATAATGTGAGCATTTTGGGAGGATGAGGTAGGAGGATTGCTTAAGCCCAAGAGTGTAAGATCAGCCTCAGCTACATAGTGAGACTTCATCTCTACAAAAAATTAAAAATAAAATATCCCGGCGTGGTGTCATGTGCCTATAGCCCCAACTACTTGGGAGGCTAAGGCAGAAGGATCGCATGAGCTGCGGAAGTCAAGGCTACAGTGAGCCATTATTGTGCCACTACACTCCAGCCTGGGCAAAAGAGTGAGATCCTGACTCAAAAAGAAATAAACGTGTAAAGTCTGTTGTATCAGAATGCAAATGAAATGTTTTTCATTAAAATCTGTTCATAATCTTGTTCTAAGAAGTCAAAGTATTCCATTTGGCCTTGCTATTCTTGCTTTACTTCTCTATCTCTTTTTTTTTTTTTTTTTTTTTTTTGAGTTGG